TACTGCGTGCTTCTCCCCCCATTCAACTGAAAGCCTGTCAAAAGCCATTATTCCTAGCAAGACCTCTGCTGTGATCCCTGCCATGTTTCATCAAAGCGTGGCAGTTTATTCCAAAGCCTTCTGTCTGAGCATGTTAGCTAGTACTAAAATTATTGCATATGAGTGTTTGTGTGTGTTTGTGTGTGCGTGTGCCCACTGCTATTCTTCTTTCGCCCCTGACCTCTTGTCATTCCTGTGGACGAACACCAGCAAAAGGAGCTGCGCAGACAATTTGCCTTTCTCCAGTACTATTTCACAATGCACTCTGGGTTTGTGTTTGCGTGTATGTATATTATTGTGTGTGGTTAAATAATTAACTCTGTTTGTCGCCCTTGCTGCAACATATCACACACTGTTCTGATTAAACGAGCCCTAGGAGATACACACCCTGCACAATGACTAATGCATGTATACGTCTCTGTGTGTATTTGTGTGTGTGCACTGGAGGATGGTTAAGACACTCTGTGTGTGTGTATACACATGAGTAATGACTTTTCATGTGTCATTGGTTGTGTGCAATATGTGTAAGCATGTAGAGGTTTTGAGTAGTTGTCTTTTTGCAATAGTAATACATCCTATACATGCCTAATATTATTCTTCCATGTGACTGTCGTGTATTGTATCCCTTCATTATGTATGTGTGTGTGTTTAGTGCGTGCAATTACTGTGTGTGCATCTATTAGAGAAGGGTGAGAGGTTAAGGACTAATTTTCTACAGAAACAGTACCACCACAGGAAATACTGCACATCACATTGGCAACATTATATATATTTTGTCTGAGCTTTAAAGTTAAACAGACATACACATCTAAACTACTAAATTGTCTGTTGGTCGTATTCGTTATGTCAAGTATTATTATCAACCTGACAAAATGTGTTTTTGGTCAAAAACAGCACTATATACTGTATGTACAATGTAACACTAGCATACTATGAGTATTAATAAAATACAATTTTTTTTTTCTATTTTGCCTCTTGGAATCAGTGGAACAATCTGTAAATGCAACACTTATATATTATCAATTATAAAGTTGGTTTGGCAACTTTACAAGCAAAAAGCTGCCTATTTACACCTCCAGCAGACACGGAGTAACCCAACGTTAGTAGTTGTAATGTGTCTGCCAACCTGGTGAAAGTCCAGTATTAACTCTTCTTCCTATTTTTGTGTCTACCAACTCCAAAAGTTAATATCTGGCTCCTGCAGTTTGGTGCTGAGCAGGTAGCGTAAAGTGGGTTTTTAGAGCTTGTTCAATGATGACAGCTGGCTGTTGCGGCTGGAGACGGGGAGTACAATGAGAATGATTCAAAACAGTAAAGTGTACTATTACTCCTTAATTTCCTGTTCTACTTTCCTGACACCAAAAATGTCCTAAAATCACCACATTTCCCTCATCAATTTAACTTAAAGCCTTTAAGGTCAAAACGCTCTGTTCTTTTTGTACCTCTCCATATTGATTTGGTTGGTGGCCTGAAGATTGGATTAGAGTCCACTGTATTCCAGCCTGAGGGGAGAGTAGCTGTGTTGCGTTTGCAGACAGGACAGATCGCTACTGTAGAGACAGTCTGATCCATTCTAACTTTATAAATAGACATATTACAATGAAAGCTAATATGATTTAGACAAGTTACTCACAAAGGAATTCATCATGGTCTAGAGGTGTTTCAGGGTGAGAAGGTCAGAGCTCACTTGTGAATAGTGCACACTGTGAGTAGGCTGAGGGATGCTGATGGAGAGCATTGTTTACACCAGGATGTAGGAGGGGAAGGAAATATTATCAGAATGCTCAGAATTCTCCATATTTTGTATCAGCAGTCCTGCTTCTGTCTTTACTATTCCTATTTTAGGGTGTGTCCATGTCACAGTTAGATCTTGACAACACAGGCCTGTATTGCTGTGTGCTTGCTGCTGATAATGGCTTGCACCATTGAGTCATAGCTTAGCAACAAGCCTGCTGGCCTATTTTTGGTTTCAGGCAATTATCCACAATGCAGTTTGATGGTGTAGTCCTGTGACACTTCCAGATTGTGGATGTAATGAAGAGAAAAAGGTCTGTGCACACATCTGTCAAGTATCTGCAGGGTTTCCCCCAAATATATAGGAATGTTAGATGTAACTAAAGCTGGGAACTGAGTGATAACATTTTTATTTCTATTAAATTTTTTATTTAAATCAATGTGTGATGAAATCTGTGCAAAGATACAGACAGACAGTATATTTTTGCATCAGTGACGCATGTAAGTAAGAGGGCAAAAGGGCAAAAGGGCACTGCAAGACAAACAATCTTAAGTTATGGATGAACTTTTTTGTATTTGTGTGTGTGTGTGTGTGTGTGTGTGTGTGTAGACAGAAAGGAGGGTAGAGAGAGAGGGGGTGACCCGCAGCAAACGGCCACCGGTCAGATTCCAACTCATGGCTGCTGCAGCAAAGAGCCTTGTAGAATACTCAAGCTTCTATACTGTTCAGAATTACTGTTATTTATTATTCAGAATGTGCAATATGTAATATAAATACTAAGACTGAGGTCACACAAGATCAAATAAATAAAATGCAAAACACCAGATAGAATTTCCAGGTTTCTCAAAACCAGGATAAGGTATTTATATGCGAAAAACAGCACCATGATAATAGTAGTGTAATAGTAGTAAGTAGTGATAAACACGCTACAGTACAGTTACATAAGTATCACACTTAACTATAACTGTAACAGACGTCACGTGACCATAGTCAAGTGTGATCTTGAACCACTAAGGTCAGCACAGCGATGCATATCCAGGATTTACGGTGGGGTTCCTTTTTAACTGCTGTTGTCATGTAGCAGATTATACTATGAGTGAGCAGGTAATGGTTCAGAGTATTGTTGATGGGCACACACTGGCTACTGCAGGGATCAAACTCCTCAGTTATGTTACAGCCTCAGATACTGCTTTACAGTGAAGGGAAGGCAGAACAAAGGAATTCTGACAATTTGAATGACAATACAGTGTTTGTGATTAATGCACATTACTTTCAAGGGTAAAATGAATATTTAAAGCCTCTAGGCTCAAGGCTTCTTCCGGTAATCCAGCTGCTGTAGAGACTGAAAAGAGGTAATTAAAGGGAAGCATTGATCTAATGAACTGAGAATGAGGTCAGTTAAGCCTCAAGTCAGTCGTTCTGCTGCAAATGTTCTTATGACATACTGTAGTATTCACCCGCAGTCATTTCTATCGTGTTATTTTTCATTATTTAAACTGTAACAAATATCAACCATGTGAATTAACAGAATCAACTAAATAACATAGTCTCATGTAGACTGTACGTTGTGGCATAGGCTTTGTGAATCACACAAAAGACGGCATGCTAAAGTCACAGCTACACAATCTGTGGCTCTACCCAAATTTGAAAAACAAGGAGAAGGGTGGGTCATCATCGCCATTTGTGTTTGTTGTGAGCTCTGATTTAAGGTCAGAGTTCACACATCACACACACACACAGCTGTCCAGTTGGATGTGTCTTCCTGATTGATGCAAAGAAGGTCACAATCTTTCTCTGTATCTGCTTTGCGCAACGCCTCACTTTATTCTGTTTCTGTTCTTTCGTTTCTATGTGCTCATTGAATCACAGCAAAATGAAAAAACACCTTTGTCACCTTGTTTGCAAATATTACATGTCATCCTATCCTATCATATAAGATTGTTGTTTTCTCTCCTTCATCTGATATTCCCCTTGGTCTAGACTTTGAAATAGTTCCTGTTTCATCAAGAGATTCATCTGATTAAGGAAGCAATACTCTTAAAGTGCTGTTTCATTGTGACTTTGAAAACGCTCTCAAGAGTGCTAATGCATAACCACTACCAAGGAGTTCGCTCCACCTGTACTTGTTATACAGCTGTGCATATAGTGAACCATACATCACTGAGTATCAACTGTGACACCAAGCACTCTGGACTATCTGTATAATTTTTTGGGTTTCAAAGGTTTTTTGTAACTTAAAGTATTTTGTTTTTTGTATTGTATTATTGTGTTCCAAGAGAGCTGGTATTAATACAAAGATGACATTTAGTTGTTTTAAACTGTTGTGTTTGTAGACTTATTTCTACCACTAATGCAAAAGTTGTGCTCTCCCAAGGTTTTTAGAAAATAGTATTTAGAGTAATATCTCATATCAGGAGTGACTGAATATCAGCATCTATCAATACAGTATATGGATTTCACTTGATTGTTTTGTTTTTTCTATTTTACTATCAGATGTTTTTTTAGTTTAGTTTAAGCAGTGTGTATGAACGAAAATCTCTGATTAGGCATTTGTGAGTCCTGGGTGCACACATTCCATCTTCATTTCCTCTTTCACCCATCCACTCTTCTTCATTTCCGCATATCCTGTTTATGTTTCACCCTCCCCATCTGTCTCTCACATCACCTTCTTAGTCCACTCCATCATTTTGTCTTTCCATTTCATATCCATTCATCAAATGCCCTTTCTGTGCCTATAACTTAGTTCATCTCGACCTCTTTTTCCCTATCACTCCACTGCAATTCACTGCTCACTCCGTCTTTGTTTCTCTCACCTGCCTCAGTCACTTTTACTCTCCTCACTCCCACCATCCATTCATCTCTTCGCTCTCCTGTCATTTCTGCGACTCATTTTTTTCTCCTTTTTTTTGCTGTTCTGCTGTTGAATGCTGTTTTCCCTCTCTCTCACATTTCTTTTTTCTATGTGTTCCAGCCTGCTATACCGTCTATATTATGAGCAGCATTTGTAGGAGTGATTTTATTACATGTCTCCTAACTGCTGGATAATTCAATAAGCACCACTGAGATGACACACAGTTATAATCTACTTAATGAAGCCACCGTACTGATGAATTGTGTGCTTTCTCTTCTGCCATTTCTTCTTTCCGTCACTTATACCCTCCTCTACTCTTTCTTTCTCTCTCTCTGTTCTTCTCTTCCAACCCTTCCCCCCTTTTGCTTTCTGCAGGGTGTTGATGGAGAGCCATTCGAATGACAGCCGGGACAGTGGTCATCACTGGTGGAATCCTAGCTACTGTTATATTACTCCTTATCATCGCAGTACTGTGCTACTGTAGGCTGCAGGTGAGGACACAGCTGCTTTCGGCCTTTGTTGCATTCACTGTTTTTCCTCTGAAGGTTTGCAGAGCTGCAAGGAAGGGGTGTCCCTGAGTATAGCATTTTGTTGATGTAAGATGTCATAAGATGGTGTTAAATAATAATAAGTATAGCTTCTTTAATCTGTAAAGTTGCGTTTGTGACCCTCAAATATCAAGGATGATAAGAATGATAAGAAGATAATAAGAAGATAGGAATATAATCTATGTTAGATGATCAATAGAACATTTTTAGAAATTTTCACTGCTGATTAAGTAATGGTGTCAAGATTTTTGAAGCCTGTCGGAGATGGTCATACTGATCATCAGCTCAAAAATGAATTCAGATTTTGCAGGATCACTTTGGATGTGCACAATCACCAGAATTTGGTTGCAAGCCAAATCATTAAGCCATTTGTAAATGGCCACATGGTGATGTATTCAGCACCTAAAACAAAAGATTTACTCCTTGGCCCATGGTAAAAACTTCCCACCAAAGGCAGTGCTTTGAGCTCAGTGCTAACGTGCTAACGTGTGCTTACACTGCTATTATACTGATGTTTGATGAGCAGTTATAAACTTTACAATAATCACCATCTTAGTTTGGTGTAATAGCATGCTAACCTTTGCTCATTGGCCCTAAACGCAGGATATCACTGAGGCTGATGTGAATGTCTTCAACTTTGTAGCTGTCAGAATCCAAAGTGTTGGACAAAATAAGATTTTGACCTGATGATGGTGCTTAAAGAAAGGCAAGGGGATCACCAAAGTTATTACAATTCATCCTGTGGGGAACATGAATGTCTGAAGAAAATGTCATGGCAAATAGTTGAGATGAGATATTTTAGTCTGGAAAGTGCTGCACTGAACAACATTGCAATCTCTATGACAATAGTTCTTGATCTTGGTCTTTGGAACTAAGAGCCTGCTGCCTATCAAACTGGGAACAGATCATTATTGTAACTTCAGGTGAATCATCAATTCTATATCTAGAACAATAGAAAATGTCCAAGATTGTTACAACACTTTGAGGATTAAAAGCTATATCTGTGTTCAAAAATAATCTCCAATTCTTCTCATTTCACACCAGTAAGCAAAAAATTAATATGTCTTAGCACTTTGCTTTTAACAGCACTTCTGCCTTATTCTGAACCCAGTCTTCTCTACAAAGTTTAGAAAATCATTCCTTTGATCCTTAAATCACATTAGTTGTTTTATATACTTTGGTTTCATTTCCAAGGAAATTACATTGTGGTAATTTTTAGAAAGTCATTATGCTGTCCATCTCTCTATGGGGCTGTGCTCTGATATTCAGATCTCTTTGTTTTGGCCAGGTGCTCTGTGCAATGTAAGAATAAAATGAGAAAGGAATTAGGTGAAAAGAACTGCTATGTGTTTTCATGCTTGAAAAAAATCCAGTTTGGTTGAAACATCACACTAATAACACCATCAGTAAGAATGACTGCAATTAGTGGATTACTATTCTAGCATGGCTGTGTATCTGTTTTACATTATACTGTATACTGTATCTGTTACACTGAACTAATCCCTTGCATTTCACTGCTTGGACCTGCAATGGAGCCTTAAAAATCTTTTTTGGCAAAGAGAATGTGCAACAATCGGCTTCTGGTGCTGAGTTCGATCTCTTGGACCACTCTCATATCTGTCCATTAAATACAGACACCTGCCAGTTAGCTTAGCTTGGCACAAAGACTGCAGACAGCTAGCTTGGCTCTGTCCAATGGTGACAAAATCCACCTACCAGCATCTGTAAATCATCTCGTTTATTGAATCGGTACAAAAACCAAAGTGTAAAAATTTAATTTTGCCATTTTACAGATGGTAATGTGCTGGACACTTGGCCGCAACCAGTAACTTCCTGGAGTCTCTGCTGGTTGCCTGGCAACTGCTCAGAGCCAAGAAATTGTCCAACACATAACCCTCTTTAAAAACAGCACATTGTCGTTTTTACACATCAGTTTTCATATGGATTTCACAAACAAGATATAACATTGTAATTAGTGAGCTTTATAGATGCTGGTAGGAGGATTTTGTTAATATTTATGCTAAGCTAAGCAAATGACTGAGCAGCTGCACCAACCGACTACCACTGCCCTTCTCTCAGGGCCCGACGCTGTCAGTAGCAGGAAAGTTTAAGTTTGCTGCTATCACATACCTTTAAAATAGATGAAAGATATTTACACACCTATGGGACTGAGCTATTTTTTTTAACATACACTGAAGCTCATCTTTGGTATCAGAAAATACTGTATCAACTTGATATCATGTAGCTCTCTATTTGAAGTACTGTAGCTTTAATATACAAAAGATTTGGCTCTCAACAGCTTCGTTTAGGGACATGAAAAATATATAATTTTCATCGAGGGAGCTTAATAATAATTTAATCAAAGAATTCCAAATTCTTGCTCAAGCTCTGTTTCTAGAAACTCCTTAGAGTATTTTTATAGATTGTTCCAAATACTCAATACCCCTTTAGTTCATAAGAAACACGGCAAGAGCATTATCCAAGTGTATTTTATTCAGCTCATCTTCATTTACGGGACAAAGTAAATTTCAAAAAAACAAGGAACAAGAGACTCTTTTATTTATTAGATGCTTTGCGTATGGATGTGGTGTTTCTGCACTTCACTCTTCAAATTCAGTTTTCATTTAAAACAATGGGCTAAACATGGTTGTATGCTGAAGATGGGGGAGTTGATGCTCAATGGGGAGAGCATACTGAAAGTATTGTCACGTTGCATGGAGTCATTTGGTTTTAGTGTAAAAAAATATGTGGAGTTTAAAAGAAACATAACAGACTAAAAATTTTATGTCAGTCAAGATGAAGCTGATAATCTATGTGTGCACTAATATGTATAATGGCTTAAAAGTGACTCATTATTGTAAGGCTATGGCAAAACAAATCATGCATAAGCTCTTACACTTAAACATCTAATGTAAAACTCTGAGAGAGGCGCCTGTGGCTCACCAGGTGGAGCATTATTCACAGAGTTAGTGGTTTATGTGTCCAAGTGTCCTTGAGCAACACACTGAACTCCAAATTGCTCCCAGTGGTAGCTCCCTGCCATTGGTGTGTGTAAGTGTATGTGAAGGGATTAAATGAGAAACAAATTGTTAAGCACCTGGGATGAAAGCACAAGATGAATGCAGTCCATTTACAGAGATCAACTACAGTAACAGAGTGGAAATTACAGTATATGATCCTTTCCACTCAGAGCTGATTACACTTCTTAGGATTCTTTTATTTCACAGCAAAATCAAAAGTGATCCCCAAATGATGGCTTTATATTACTTGGCGGGATGCCAGGAAAGCGTTTGAAAGCTACATTTTGTGGGGATAAGACAGAAATTGGAACCACAAATTCTCCATTGAAAAGTGGATTCTGTATTTACGTCAGCTTGAACTATAATTGTTAAGGATTTAGCAAACCCTTTTGACATTATACTGTAGCATATGTGCAGCTTTAAGACTACACATATGAACATATAGGGTCATGTGGGTTGGAGAACACCTCATGGGGAAATGTGCTAAAGTGGGGTTAAATTCTGAGAGACATCCTCTCCAAGAGTGTTAAGTAAATGGATGCTTTCTGTCCATAGTGTGCAAACCATATTTAAATGTGGTAGACTTACGTTGTTGAATGTGTAGATACATTCATTTAAGCCATATTTATTTTATATATAATAGTATTTTCCATTTTCTTCTCATTAATATGCACAGAACCTCTGGCTTTATGGTTGCAGAACTACATGAACATAATTATTATAATAGGAGGCTGACCTAGACTTTATTGGCTGGATTGTATATGTAAACTAATTTTACATCCATTTATTTTGGGTTCGAATCCGACCTGCGGCCCTTTGCTGCATGTCATCCCCTCTCTCTGCCCCCCTTTCCTGTCTGTCTTCAGCTGTCACTATCAATAAAAAAAAAGGCAATAAAAGCCCTAAAAAAAAAGTCCTTCCCTTTCTGTTCTTCAACTTTATATTACGCCTCCCTCTCTCTGATTTCTCTTGCTTTTTACATGATTCTGTACTTTTTTGCCCTAATAATATTCTCTCTGCCTCTCCCTCTCTTGCTCCCTTCTTCCTCTTTCATCTCTGCTTGCCATATCCCATCCTCCTTCCTTTCTCACCTTCAGTACTATTGCTGCAAGAAGGAAGAGTCCGAGTCGGAGGAGGAGGAGCCGGACTTTGCTGTTACATCCCGCCTCCCACCGGTCCACTCCAATCACAACATTGTGGCGGCAACGGCCGCCGCCTCCTCCATCCCAAATGGCCCCGCCCTTTTCTCCACCCCTCCGCTGGCCAGGAAACTGACACGCTCACAGACCTTCTGTCCATCCTGTACTCACTATGAGCTGCCTTTCTACCTCCAGCCACCTCAGCCGCAGCTCCACCATCAACCAGATGGGTTGAGGAATGGAGGTGACCGGATCAGCTACCGCAGTGTCCAGCAGCAGGATCTGGACCTGCCAGTGCCTGTGAACATTTCAAACTACCGTAAACCTAACCTCTCCCGGTCGGTCACCATGAGGGACATGTTCACACGCAGCTGTAGCATCAGCACTGATGTTTAGCTGGGCGAGGTTGGACCTCTGTGTAAGTTTATGCTTAAATGAATTGTGATGGCCTAGGCTGGACTGGCTTGAGTCAGACTGTATTTTTGTTATCTTGACCAGTTTAGTCCAGTCTAGTATGGTCTGACCTAGTCTGGTCTTGTTCTACTGGCCACCTCTTGCAGAATGGAAGACTCAGATGGCTCTCAGGACAGGATTTTCAAAGGTACTATGCTAAGGTCCAGAACCTTACACTTGCGCCAATGTGGAGTTTAAAGTATTTAAAAAATGTTAAATTATCAATAACATGAAGTTCTTTGTTTGTTTTCTTCTGACTAGTTCTTTTTTTAACAATAAGAATGGACTTTGTTTTACCATTTCATAAAGTTTGTGTAGCCCATGGCCTGAAAGATAAACAGATTCCCGCCATGTCAAAATGACATAATCAGCAGGGATTTTCTCTTTGCCATAGCTGCTACAAACAAAATATGATTAGGTGAAGTCCAGTGTTTCCCCCTCCTATGATGGGATGATCTGTCTGTTCCTCCATCCACAGATTATAGATTATAAAAGATCACTCTCCACCAGTGGAAAGACTAGCGGAGGACAGGGGATGTTATGTTTTAGCTGCCACCCACAGACATTTTAGACAGACTTAACTTAGGCCATAATATTTTAAGACATAAAGGGCTCACAGAAGATGGAAATCCCTGCTTGTTTTCCACATCCTTTCATAGAGGTCTCCGGTTTGACGGGAGGCTGGTTTCTCTGAGCGTCTGCTGACTGAAGTGTATATACAGTACACTTCAGCAGAGAAAGACCTCTGTGTTCTTGCAGGCAAGGTGGACTAGGTGCCAAAGGGGGATGGGTTCTTGCATTTGTGTGCATTCGTACGACTGTGCTTGCATGCATGTGTGTGCGTGTGTGTGTATAACTTGATCAATTGTTATACCAGGATTCTTATTCCATACAATTAAAACACAGTCTGCCCTCCCCCCAACTGTATGTATCCTGAACCCAGCAGTGGGTTGCAATAACATTTTAAGCGTTTCTTGTAAAGGGTGAAGGGATTGTATTAGTTTCCGTGTGCCACTTTACCTTTAAATTCCTGTTAAAGCTAAGAATGACCCAACCAGATGATGTGACAAACTCTTTAGTGGGTTTGCAGCTATTTTGTAAATGTTTATTTTACTGATCGACGCTATAACACAGACTCAAGTTGGTGGTGGCAGTCAGAGGAGCAAAAAGTTTTTGCGGCAACACTTAACGTTATAATGTGATGTTCATTATAGTTCTTCACCGAGGTTTCATTTTGTGGACTCTTCACTACATTCCTTGTGTTGTCTCTGATATGTTGATATATGGATTCATGGGCTAAAGATTTGTTCACCTTTAAAGGCACATCTATAAATATTTAACAGGCCATAACATACACAGTCTCTCTCCCTCTTCTCTCGACTCGCTGGACTGAGGAAAATTTGCTCCTGCTCTGAGAGTTCCTTCTTGGGATTGTTTTTAATTGTTGTGCTTGGCTGATCAGCCTGGCTAGAGATTTGATATTCTGACTGGATGGACACAGGACACACATTTAATGAATGAAATGATTTAGTGCTTGATTTCAAGAAGAAATGCTGGTGATTGTGTGACGGGCTTGACGCTGATTGGATTATCCCTATTGCCCCCCCGGAAAAAACGGATGGTAAATGCTTCTAAACCTCTCTCTCTCTCTCTCTCTCTCTCTCTCTCTCTCTCTCTCTCTCTCTCTCTCTCTCTCTCTTTGTCTCTCGCTTTCTATCTTTCTGTCTCTGTTGATTTTATTAGCAATCATGCTCATGTATTTTCCCAAAGGGTGAAACAGTGAGTGATGTTTTGTTTTAAGTTTTTCCTCTTGTGACATGTGCTTCCCTGCAAATACATTACGAGACACATGTACGCACACACACACACACACACACACACACACACACACACACACACACACACACACGCTCGCACACACACACACAGTTCTGCTACAGTATGCTTTCCTTACTTTTTAAACAGAAATGTGACAGTTGCACAAGAAATGTAGTGCCATAAAGAATTATGAGAGAAATTTATTATTATTATTATTATTACAAGTGTTTATTCAAATGCAGTGTTGCTTTTACCCTAAAGTATTTGAATTACTTGCTTTATTTTATGATCCAGCTGTTTTTTCAGACTCAGTACAGTACAGCAGAAATGTTTCTGTCCTTGTTTCTAATGTATAACTAAGAAACACATTGTTGCTAATAAAATGGTGTGAAAATCCTTCTGATCTGCTTTGTTACTGTTAATTTCACCAAAACCAAATGTTCATTCATTCAATTCCAGTTATCTACACTTTCAAATGTTTTATATGAAGTGAAATCTCTTGATCTAAAGGTTAATCAATGGATATTTACTGTAATGAGAATGTGTTTTCCCTGAGCACTTCACAGGACCATGTTTTTCTGCTGGCTTCCAAATGTTGAGCAGTAGATTCAACTGAAAGCGTGGTGCATCATCCTGGATTATCTTATTTAGTGAACTGCTAAACCCAGGGTAAACATCAGCTAGCTAAAACATATGCTTTGGTCAGAGCACCACACCACAAACAGCAGCGCCATACAGAGAGTCCTGCAAGCAATCTTATACAAGATCATTTTTTTGTCTTGACTGTAGGATTTATACCATTACTGATCAAAGCTTTGTTTGGATATCTATTTGAAGAAAAAATGAATTTGTACGATCACGGATAGAAAACAACAATCTAATTCTGCTTTGTGTGGTGCATATGTTGGCTATTTGTTGTTGATGAAGCTATGTAACATCTGTTCATTATCTCAACTCATTGCCCATTAGCAGCCTAAAGTTATATTCTGTAAAAGCCTACAGGTATAAATATGTATGGAAAAGAGTGAACCTCGACCTACTAATAAGTTTTTATTGTTATGTTAAAAGTGAAACATCAGACACACGGATAAAATGTTAACATGAGAGAACAGTGAAGCCCCCCAAAGCTCCTACCGCAGCAACAGCGATTGAGTCTGTTTGCACACAGATCCAGTCAGCCTTGAGGCGACGAAGTGAGAGTCATGACAGCAAATATGTTTGAATGAGAAGGGTAAGAAACAACAAGGGGACGCTTAAGTGTGGTGATAAACCAACCTGACAGTTCGAGGCGAGGAGATGATAGGCGCAATGAAAAGTCAAGAAGGCTAAAAGACAAAAATGGGAAGCTTTATTCTGACAATAAACTGAGTGAGTCAGACTTATCATACAATAGAAAAACAACTGAAAACTATTTCAGAGAGGAAATAGAGGTAGTCATTAGAAAGATGAGTCAGAGCTAATGAATGAGAAATAGCACATAGAACAGAATACACAGACAGATGGAGGCGTAGAGGAGCTGATATCAAACCGAGGCCTCCCTGGCAGAGACATGAATAGCCATTTTGTGATGGCATTAATACAACAGCACTGCTTCAGACATGAAAAACCTCTCCGATTATGACGGATTCCCTTTGATGTGGATACATTCAAACTCCCACTTATTCCGACATCGAATTGCAACAAGGAATTACTGTCACACTAGCATTCCACCCACAAGGTAAATTGGCTGGAATATCAATTATTGATTCTCTTTACAGTCACCATAATTTACATGTAATGATACTAGGACCACTTGTCTCACAACATTGCATCTCAGTTTCAGGTCTGGAACATGGTTAACGTACTGTAGCTTGGCTCAGAGACTGGAAGCGTGAGTAAACTGCTAGCTCTGTCAAAAGTAAAGTCATCTGTAACTTCCAGTTACACCTGATGTGGGACTATCTATCAATACTGTTTTGATTGAGATGTTGTTGTGAAAGTGAGGTTTGTGACAGTATCCTTCCATCACTGCTGATATTGTCTAGCTCAGCAAGAACCTGCCTCATAACTAAAACAGCCTAACAATCCATCAGCTGCTTTCCGGCTGAGGGTCTTTCACCCAGGGTCTGGATGCTGGTCTGACTAGCAAAATATAAACAGAAATCTTTCCTTCTGACCGTTGTCTCGAAGTTTTACTCCAGCCATACCTCCAATATGTGTATTTGAAAGAAAACACATGGCATAAAGCATACCGTATATATATGTCCTGTCCACATGCACTGCAGGAGTATACATTTTTGTGTGTGTTTGTGTGTTTTTGCATTTTGTTTGTATTTGTATTTGTATGAATAAGCGCTTGTGCAAGCTCTGTGAATTATTTAGAGGCATAATCGCCTCCAGTGTAAGCAGAGCTCATAGCACGGCCTTTGGAGGTGTATCGATGTTTTATGACATGCTTTGAATCATCCCCCTCATCTACCCCTCATCCTGCAGCAGTGTGCTCTCTCTCTCTCTCTCTCTCTCTCTCTCTCTCTCTCTCTCTCTCTCTCTCTCTCACTCTGTGTTTCCACTGCATCTCTTGTAGTCTCTCTCTCTTTCACTTCTTCCTGTTCCTCTGCTATTCCCCCCCCCCTATTCTCTAGTACATGTCCTGTGTGTGCGTGTGTGTGTGTGTGTGTGTGTGTGTGTGTGTGGCCTATTTTATGGTCCCTGGCCATAATTCCCCAACAGTGGAATTTAGATGCATACAGAGGAGCGGCTGGGATTCCATGAATTATGAACATGATACAAGGCTTTCCAACTTACATTGCAAACCAAACCTTCCTAACCCTTCTCCTCCTCTCCTCTTGTTATCTTGCTCTTTCAATCTCCTGTCCTGTTCCCTCCTCTCATTCCCATTCCTTGCTCTTCTCCTGCTCAGATTTTCCCTGTACTTGCTTTTCTCACCGCCTCCTCTTCCACCTCCTCCCTCTTATCAAATCCTGCTTCTCTCTGTAGCCCTAATATAAATGTTTGTGGACAATGAAATGCGGTTGTTTACCTGCTTTTTTTTCTGTGTGGGTTTTTGTCCAGAGAACACAAAAAATAATCAGTACAAAAAAAGACATGAAATTGGCTTAGAATTGTCACAAGTCCAAGAAAATACAAATGTGTTGAGCGTTTAATCCGTCGCTCATTCTTTATCTTGGAAAGAGTAGTTTGACAAAAAGAAACTCATTTCAAGGTCAACTTACTACCATTTTCCAGAGATTCCAACAACTTCTCTTCTTCAATTGTTTGGCGTTTGTTAAGAAAATTGATTTTAAAAAGAACTTCAAACTATAAATGGGAACTGAATGAAGACAAAAAAGGTAAAAAAAAAAAAATCAAAAATAAAGTAAATACTGAAACTAATCGAGTACTCAATATGTTCTTTTCGCAGAATTTTTACATGTTACAGCAGGAAAAGTACATTCCATGGCAATATTTCCGTCCTTTATTTTGGCGTGCCCGAGACCCCTCACCACCAATATGGACATTACTCAGACTGTCAAATATAAACACAAGCTGTCCAAGCTTGGAGAGGTTGGTAGTTCATTGGAGCTCTTTCCTATACAGTCAAAAGTACAACCAACATCAAGAACAGACACTTCTCCATTGCTCACATTCACAGTGACAGCGGGATTTATATTTAATGCGACATTAAAAACAAACAAACCCTGTATATACTGCAGGATCTTTGTACATTTGTACATAATTAACATAACTCAGAGATATATAGCAGCCGTTAGATTATGTGATTCAGTAACACACCCACACACATACACACACACACACAGATGCTTAATTGCTGTGTCAGAGATGCAGAGAAATAGCCATCCTCCACAAATCTCTCCCTCTCTGTTTCACGCACACATGACTGCATGAGGGAGCCATTACCGCCCAGTGTGTGTAATCTTGCGATTTCTAAAAGGAGAAAAGGCCATGCCTCCTGTCTGAATTTTTCATTCCCCACCCTCTCTGTCTCTGTATAACAACTGATAAATAAGCAATGAATCCTGTGGATATAACGCAGAATGGACTTGATTTTATGTCCTCCTCACCCCAACACCAACTCCCCTAGATACACATTTTGTCTGCCGTTTTCTCTTTCTGTCTCACTCTCTTCTTTTCTCTATGAACCCTGTCTGTCTTTCCAACTCATGCTGTCTGTCTCTCATCCACTCTCTGTGTTTTAAGAGCTAAATCGTTTGCTGTGTTCCTCTTCCCTTGGTACTTGCCCAGTGAACCGTACTGGGACTAAAATGTGGTGGAAAAGTGTGTTTGTGTGGGTGTGTGTGTGTGTGTGTGGTTTTGTGGATTGAACATGACCTTTTGCTTTGCTAATCCACCAACGATTTAGATTTAGAGCACCGGTGGCTTTGAATCAGTCTGAGAGGCACCTTGGTTGGTGAGCAGTTCAGAGAATAACCTCAGTTTAGATTATCAAATGAATATGAATGCCACAACATTGCTCTCTGAATATGCAATATTCTTCTCAGTCAACAAGTGTGGGTTGTTTCAGACAGAGAGAGAGAGAGAGAGAGAGAGAGATCTATATTTGAGCGTTATGAGAGGTGAAGATGTGTTGAAGACAGAAATAAAGGAGTCAACTTAAACCATACTTTGTCGCCATCTGGTGGTTAAATAAGGATATTGCCTTTGTTGACACATTCCGGCCAAACCTGAAGTGTCTGGTACAATAAAAGCTAAAATACCAATCTAGGTTGTCTATTTTAAAAGTGTTTCACGCTAGTGTTGATATTCAAATACTCTAAATTCACCTAAATCATTCCGTCAAATTGAAGAGCGTCAGAAGTCTCCATTTCCATACTGTCGATGGGTTGTTTCCACGGTAACCAAACTTATAAGTCCCGCCTCTCAGTTTCAAGAACCAATCAGAGTCTGCATCCCATCAGCCGCGAATTGCAAACTTCCTCCTTCCTACTTTGTTCATATATTATGTTCTTACTGCAATATATCAACCATAACATACACATTCGTATAACATTTAAGGCAGTATGAGCACAGAGCAGCCCACAGAAACTCACTGTAGTGCAAATAATTCTCCAGTTTCGACACCGGAGGGCAACGACTTGAAGAAAGGAGCACTGAGAAGGTAACTTGTTAGCCCCAGTATTGCTAACGCTAGCTAGCTGATACATCGTCTACTACCTAACGTTACTCTCTGTTAACAGTACTTTTAATCACTTTAAAAATGTGTTGTCACATACACTGGATCCACTGTCTCGCTGTGATATTGCCCCAAGACCCCTCTGAGACGATATATACTGTAACATTAACGGTGTTAAGTAGTTATATTAGCAACAACAACAACAGCCACTTTTTTATTTTCAGTATAAGATAATCTTTGTGACCAAAAGCAAAACATTAGATAT